TAATATTATATGAAATTATATATTCTTTTCCATTCTACTTAAATATAAAGCAACGTATTACGTGACAGTGAGTCTGCGACAAATACTCGGCCGGAGAAGAAACAAGCTCTCACAGTATACCAGCATAAAATAGCATCATAAAACAGTGTTAACCGGCAACAATATATGTCCGGCTAGGTAGTCAGGCGTGATATATAACTAGATTTACATTATTAAGAGACGATTTATGTTCGTGTCTAAAGACGACGGCATCCACCTACCATACCATACCACGTACCACGTACAGATAATATACTGTGCTCGTTTCGCTAGATATACCATTTTAACTTATTTTAAAACTTTTACTTTTACTTTAAAAGCCTGCATAATTGTGTATGTAACACTCTAGTCAATTGTAATTTATTTGAGTTGAAATTCGTTTTAAAAGCATTATATGTCACTATATGTATACAAATATGTCGTCATAGTTTTCATCATAGACTTATATGTTTTTATAGCATAATATATATCTTATTAACATATATTTTTAATACTAAAATCTAATTTCATTCAATGGCTATTCAATGTTATAAAAATAATAAGTAAACCAAAATTAAAAATTAACCAAGTTTCAGACAATAATTAAAAGTAGGAAATTTAGTAATTTATGACTACCCAATTTTAGACCTATAAAATATAAAATAGTAAACAGAAGCATTCATCAAGAATGTTGGGAAATAAATTACACAAATAGAGGGTTGTTGAAATAATTGTGAGCCTTCAAGTTTACACATACGTATTATATAAACAATGTGGAAAAATTATTTTCGGCTATGCGTGATATAGACGTGTAGAGGCGGCGTAAGAAAATCCACTACTCCAAATCATTCCGTGGGTTTCATTGGAGAGGAAACTGAAACATAAGATAATGAGAAGAGAGAAAATAGAAAGTGCCATCTAGTTAATTATTCCGAATGTATTAAACATAGAAATAATACATTTATTTTATTACACATTTTTAACATAATATTCTATACAACTATAGCATATTTTAAATCCAGTAAATGGTTACTAATAAGTTACCGATAAAAAAACATGCGTGAGTGTCGTGGAAACTCGTTTGGAACGAAGTTCCTATCGTAGTACATTATTATTGATAAACGTATTATACTATTGATTAACAAATACAAATAAAAGAATTACTAGCATCTATTAAATGAAGCGTCATTTAAAATAATATATCTTTCCTGGCAAGATAAGAAAATGTGCGAGGGATATGGATATTATTCCATCTCGCTCGCACTGTTGACGTATAGAAATGGGGTCGTGACGGAAAAATCTAACACTTTTTCTCGCCTAACACCATCCGTCAAATTCGTAGGTACCGTGCGATAAGGAACTTCGTTCCAATACTTCCACGCTGATTTTCCAAAGGTTCCAAATTTTGTATTTTATCAAGAAGATGCTGCTGCCTTCTTCTTTTTTTAAAATATTTTATTATACAAAAATACAATCGGTTATTTCTTATACCATTTTCGCCAAACTGTAGAGCAGTTTTTTCGCGAATACATCACCCACTTATATTCTATGTACCTACTGCAAGTAATGTCTTAATCTTGGATTTAAAACTTAAAATAGTAAAATTAAATATAAACTTAATAGTGTTATTTATATACTTCATTTTCTTTAAACTTATTATAATTACACATTTAAATATTATTTAAAATTATTATTTTTAATTTAGACAATATTAACTATTTGCACGTATTAATTATCCAGCAACCACGGTTTCAGATTCCTTTTAAATATCTCTTTATTACCATAATTCGTCTCCAGAAAATATCTCATTAAAAATACGTGGTACTAGATATTTCATTGTCTTCTTACTGTATTAATTGTTAACCCTATGCTTAACGTATTTGTTTCGAGAAGTAATTCCAATATTTTTGATAAACGTTTGAACGGGACCGTCGACCGGGGAAGGAGCACGCTCTCACAGAAAACCATCGTAAAATAGCAGCTTAACATTGCTGTGTTTCATATGGTGAGTGTAGAAAACCGGAGACCTTTTTACTGGCAAAGAGGCATTCCATCTTAGTCCTCACGGGTGACAACGCATCTGCATCTTGAGTCTTTATTGAGGATAGATGTAGATGTCTATGGGTCACAGTAACCACTTACCATCAGGTGGACTGTGTGCGCGTTTGTCACCCGATCCTATAAAAAAAAACTGCTTTATACTCTAGAGATTTAAATTGGTCTTTTTCGGTTTCTTTCTTGTCGCCTCTTATTACACCTATAGAATGATGTGAGTTAGTGGGTTCACTTACGCTGCCACTACAAGGTAAATAATATTATTGGCTGTAGCTATACAAACATTTTATAAGATATTTGAAATCACAAAGAATAAGTATTTCGTAGTAGCTTGATGTTTTATTTCCTAAGGCTCTTCGCACCCGAGTCGTAAGCGTAGTCGTATCGTAAGCGTATCGTTAGGACGCAACGCGTACGAGATCTGCAATGTTCTACAAACGAATCGTAGAGTAGACATATCGTTTTGTAAGATCTCAGTTGAAAGCATGGTTTCAACGGTACCAGATGTGACTTACTTTCCTTTAGATGAGGATTTTTTATTGTTTAATTATGTAAGAAGTAAAAAGCTATCTTTATAGCGATATATCTGCCCAAGCTTTATCCGTTACATCTTTCCTTGAATATTCACTTTTTTTTATAGGATAAGGGTGACAAACGAGCACACAGTCCACCTGATGGTAAGTAGTTGCTGTGGCCCATAGACATCTACATTTAGCCTCAATTACGAATCAAAATGCAGATGCGTTGTCACCCGTGAGGACTAAGGTGGAATGCCTCGTTTCCAGTAAAAAGGGTCTCCGGTTCTCTACACTCACCATACGAAACACAGCAGCATTAAGCTGCTATTTTACGCTGGTATTCTGTGAGAGCGTGGTCCTTCCCCGGTCGAGCTGACCCATTCGTGTTACAACTATACCAAAAATATAGCTGCAGCATGGCTCCACGTACAAGATTACGTACTTAATAAATGATTATATAGACAAGGGAACGCTTCACCCAGTTTCACGAATTCAATCAATCTTTAAGTCCTATTCAAACCTTTTGAAATTAAAAGTCATAAGAATTTAAAAGAAATTAATGAACAGTTAATTTTTACGCTTGTTTTTTTACGCCAGTGCACTACGACTATCGTAATGACAATAAACATCTCCTACGATTCGCTGCAGCACCGCTTCGTGTGCGGACTTGTTTAAACATGTACGCGCTCGTATTGCTCTCGTCCTACGCGCGTATTACGATACGCTTACGATACGACGCCATGTGCGAAGGGGCTAAGTCATAGAAAAGCTATACTTATAAGTAGATGCGAAAAGTATATGTAGATGAGAAAAGAACTAGCCCTCTTGTCACCATTGGCATCATAATCATTATTATAGTGGCGGATACAGCGTGTTTTTTTTTTAATAGAATAAAATTAATATTTCATTCGTGTCCTTAGGAGTGATAACGCACTAAAATTTATTCTAAACTAGCGATCCGCCCCGGCTTCTAACGGGTGATTTCTGGATCGATAACTGCACTAACTACAGCGTCCAATTGTGAATCGTTTAGATTATCCAGGGCCTCACTCAAACAAAAACAAAAATTTCATCAAAATTGTTCCAACCATTTTCTAGTTTTTGCGAGACTAACGGACTAACTTTTATATATATGTATAGAATAACTAAAAAACTACTTTTGTTGCGTATGTTCACTGTAACGATTGAGTTGACAATTTACGAATACTTACTCTTCTTTCTTCTTCTATTATATCTTCTACTATATCTTTTAAGGCCAATTATTTCAAAAATATCTACTACGTAACAAAGTTTTGTATAAAAATTTACATAAGTTTCTGATAGGGTGCTTTGGGGTAATCTCGAATCTGGGGTAATTTCAAAAATCAATCATTACTACGAAACAGAAAGTTATATTGTTTCCTGGCAACACTGACCTAGACGCCATGTTGATCTATACCCGGGTTTCAGTTCGCTCTGTTTGCTCTCAGCAGGTACGTGTGTTGTGTGTGACATTTTATAAAAAAAGTGCGTTTGCGTGGATTTTGTGGAGTTTCGAAGTTACCCCACATCATTTTATTAAGTGATTTGGTAAGTTAAACAATTGATTGTCTTTTTTATCAATGGATTGACGTTTTTGACGCATTTTTAGATTATCTTTATCATTATAGCTACAGTTTTAAAAATACTTACAAAATTGCCCCATAGGTAAATTTCGAAAGATTATGCTTTTGACCAGTGGTTCTCAAACTAATATTTTTTATAATTACTTTATTGCGCTATAATAAAAATATAATAGAATCACAATTAAACAATTTTTGTACTTTTTTGACAAAGTTTATTTTTTATGAAAGCTGATGTTAGGTACCTATGCAATAATTTTATGAAATTAAAAATTAACAGTTAAATGAAAATAATTTTTTATTTTGTTTGTTTGCAGGAGTTAATACCGACCTACTAAATTTCATTTGATGCAGAGACTGGTAAGTAAATTCAAGATATTTTCTTATACATGTAATCGAAAGTTGGCTAGTTAAGCGACCGGGATAATAACGTAGTGAATGTGCCAAACTGCTTGTCAACCAACTGCTTTAACAATTTAGCATTTAATAAATTTTTGCTAAAACTTTACAAAAGTAAAAAATTAATATTAAAAATATCACAATACTATTTTAGCAAAAAAATATACATAGCTAAAAATTTTGAATTAAGGTTTTTCTACTAAGTAGGTATACAATTTATGGTAAAGTAATAAAAGTACTCTTTTGAAGTCAATTTTATTTTTTAAATTAGTATTTTGATATCAGTTAATCATATTAAACAAATAATATACAAAATTTAGAAATTATGTCTGTGGAATATACTACCTACTGAAATTCAAGTGTGAAGTATCATTTACATACTAAGTATTTAATTTAATTTTTCAGAGTGATGCCTCGAAAATATATAAAAAAGAAAGTGCAAAAATATTCGCAAGAAGATGTTGAAAAAGCAGTGGAAGAAGTCAACCAGGGGATATTTTCAATTTACGGTGCTGCAAAAAAATATAGCATTCCCACAACAGCACTTTTTGATAAAGTGAAACTAAATCACATCCAAAACATTGGTAGACCACAAGCTATCCCTTTTCAACAAGAAGAAGGATTGGCAAATGGCCTTCGAATTATGGAGAAATGGGGGTTTGGTCTGTCTAGAAACGAAACGCTTGATGTAGTTACTGACTATGTTGCGAAAAATAACCTGAAAACTCCGTTTCATAACAACAGACCTGGCCCAGATTGGTTTCTTAATTTTAAAAAAAGACACCGATTGTCAATTAATAAACCTCAACCTCTTGAACATACTCGAAAAAAATGACAGACCCATTTATTATTCATGAGTATTTTCAGCTACTTGGAAATATATTCATCATTACAGCCCTTCACAAGTCCACTGCTGAACATAGGCCTCCCCCAAAGAATGCCACAAAACACGGTCCTGAGCCACCTGCATCCATCGACTTCCTGCATGTCTTACCAGGTCGTCACTCCATCTCGTGGGGGGACGCCCTACACTTCGCCTACCGGTACGAGGCTGCCACTCGAGAACCTTTCTTCCCCATCGGTTGTCGGTTCTTCGAGCTATATGGCCGGCCCACTGCCACTTCAGCTTACTAATCCGTTGGGCTATGTCGGTCACTCTGGTTCTACTGCGGATATCCTCATTCCTAAGTTTATCACGCAGAGAAACTCCGAGCATAGCCCTCTCCATAGCTCGCTGAGCGACCTTGAGCTCAGGAGCTCTTGGAAATATATTAGCCGATCTCAATTTGTTTGACCGTCCCGATTTAATTTGGAACTTGGACGAGACCTCTCTGTGTCTAGATCCTTCAAAGACGAAAGTAGTAGGTGCGGTTAACAAGCCTTGTTCAAGAGCAACATTTGGCAGTGGCAAAGAAAATATTACTGTTTTAGCGGCCGCAAATGCCGCTGGCCAAAAAATAGCACCCTTAATAGTATTTAAGGGGCAATATGTATGGAAACAGTGGACGGCTGATAAAAAAGATTATGAATTTGAGTTGACCTACGCAGCAAGCAGCTAAGGTTGGATGGAGGGTACGATATTTGTGAATTACTTGAAAAAAGCATTATTTCCGGCTCTCGGTGAAGAACTCCCCGTATTGATTATTTACGATGGCCATTCATCTCATGTGACTGTAGATGTCGTACAACTGGCTATCCGACATGGAATCACAATCTTAAAATTACCACCTCACACCTCCCACTTATTGCAACCATTGGATGTGGCGGTCTTTAGATCATTTAAGTGTAAATGGGATGCTAAATTAGTTATATGGCAGCGCCATAATGTCGGACTTAAAATGCCTAAAAATGTTTTTTCTCAGACGTTTGCAGACACGTGGCAAGAAACAAATGCCGAGATAATAAAAAGCGGCTTCAAAAAAACTGGAATCTATCCGTTCAACCCTGAATTACCACAGGATATATTTGAACCAGCTGCCTACAAACGATTTAAAGAAAAGCTACGCACAAATGCTCTCCAAAATCCGAAACCCCTGCAAAATTTATGTATTGACGTTTTTAATAAAATTTTACAGTTTGCACCTGACTTAGAAGAACAAGTGGAACGAGTAGTTACACACACGAATACTCAAAATGTCACCTTCTTATCAGACCTTTCAAGAAAAGATAATCAGACGCAGTCTTTTTTGGCAAATAATATTTCCAGTATACCAGATTGTCTAAAATGCAAGCAAAATGTACAGCATGAGCCAAAAATTAAAATTTTATCCAGCGTAAAGGTCAATTTTGAAGAATTGCTGCTCGACAAAATAAAACAGGATAAGAAGGATATTAATTATCAAACAAAGAAAACACGTGTTGCTAAAGGAGCTGAAATAATAACTTCTAAACAATTAGAAGACTTGGAAACGCAAAGTAACGAAACAGCACCAAAAAAAGCTAAGCAGAAAAAAAGAAAGTCAATAAAAGATATAGATTTCGCAGATGCGGGACCTTCAGGTGTAAAAAAAGTGAGTAAACAGAAAAAACAGGGTAAGAAAAAACATAAAAAGGAAATAGATTCGAATGAATCTTCGTCTGATATATCTGATTTGATAAGCCTCTACAGTGACGACATGGACATTGATCAATATTATAACGATGAAACACTCAGAGAAGAAAATTGGCCAGAGGATTTAAATTTTGAGATGGAGAATTTAAACTCTTTGGAAAAATATGAGAATAATGAAATTTCAAATGAAGTTAAAGAATGCGAAAATGGAAATCCTCATACCAAAACTAAAAATAAATGTGTGGTAAAAAGAGTAGAGCAAAAGAAAATAACCAAGGCTCAAAAGAAACTAATAAGACTGATGATGACTCTAGTGTAGTAGTTATAGGTAATATTAATAAAAATTTTACAAATACCACAGAAATTGAAACACTACAAGAAAATTACTGCATAAATGATTCCGTGTTAGTCAGATATTACGTTAGAAAGATATGGAAATACTATATTGGATTTATAAAAGGAATAAAAGAAAAAGACGGAAATAGATTATGTTGTATCGCTTATTTAAAAACTATGAAAGCACCCCAACTTTGTTTCAGAGAAACTAAAAAATTAGATTATGATGAAATTACAAATATATCTATAGTGAAGAAAATAAATTTGCAAAGAATGAATGATAAAATTTATAGCTTGGTTAATGAGAGCGACAACATATATTTTTAAGTTAATTATGTTAAATAGTTTTCTTAAGTCTGTAGTAGCATAGGAGAGCGAAGGAACAAAAACCCTTGTAACCATTTTTAAGCACAGAGTTGCGTTAGGTTTTCATATTCTAGGTTTAGGAAATGAAGTGTTAATATACTTACCTAAAATGGTCTGATGTGTTACCTACTAAGTTTAATGAATAACTTTATGCATAATAAACTTAATAGGTAACGCATCAGACCATTTTAGGTATATTAACGCTTCCTTTTTTTTTTCTTCTTTCCTAAACCCAGATATATGAACCCAGATGTATATCTTTTGAGAATTTGGTATTTTTTATTTTCTAAGTTGTATTTTTTTTGCAATTGTCTAAGAATATTTTCTTTGTCCTTTTTGGTAGTTAAAAGTATTGATGTGAACTGATGTTTAATGTAAAGTCGTTTTTTTATTACCTTTTGCTTTAGGTACCAGTTTTATTTCATGTAATGTCTTAACTGTTTATTATGTACAATTTCAAAAATTTATTATTTGTCTTTTGTATTTTCAAAATGACAATCGCAAGACTGATTACGATAAAATAGTCCATGAAAATGACGTGATCTAATGTTAAGGTGCAAACTTAAAAATAACTAGGTAATTATTACCTACTTGATTAGCAGCTAGTTTTTCAAAATAATTTAAAATTAGGTACCAATTCGAGTTGGTATTAAAAAAAAGGTTGTGATTACTTTAAAAAAATCATAGAATTGCTTATTAATTTAAACTACTTAATTATGAACTAATAATGTATATGTATGTATGTATATGTAATAACTAATTATGATAATAATTGATATGGTCTAATAATAAGTGAAGATACACACTTAAAAATAATTAATATATCTTGATTAGCAGCTGATTTACGACAACAACTCAGTGTGATCTCATACTAAGTCATAACTAAACTGATTCAAATATTTTTTATTGTTTTGTTTTCCCTGCCTACCGATAATGTAAAAAAAATGTTGACAAACGATGACTTGCCATGGGGTAATTTCGAAAATAAATTCTTAAAAAATTTGTAACAAAAGTTGTGTGGCCGTTAGGAAAAAAAAAATTTTTGGGGGAATTTAGAATAAAAAAAGAATATGTACCTTGAAGCCATACCGCACAAAGACCATTTTTGACTGTTATTCGAAAATGCCCCACAGTATTTCGAAATTACACTTGAGGATCAAAATGTCTAACTAATAATAAAAATTAAATTTTGATATCTAGAAACTATATTAGAATACTTTTGAAATGAGCTTTTCTTCACAAAATATATAAACTACATAAAACTTGTGCTTGTTTCAGGTAAAAATGTACAGATTCTGACTTTTGATAGAAAACACAAATGGTCTATTAACTTCATATAAATCCTTTCGAAGTAACCCCAAAGCACCCTAATTGATTATGGTTATGAACATATTCTATGTTACGAAAGTGATTAAAAATGTACATGTTTGCAGATTAGATAAAAAGAAAAAAAACATCATTAAAAATTATTCCTTTATTCGAAGCGACAACTTTTCACATCCTATAAGTATTAACGAACGGTTTTAAAGTTCGTTACAGTGTAAAACGGAAAAGTCGAATGTCATCACGGATTTCGAGATAATTTCATTTCAAATCACGCGCGGTGAAATATCCGACGCCACGATAATGTGATGTAATTACAGATAGCTCGATAAAAGTATGATAATTCAGAAATCGCTATAAAGGATAAACTTTTACGTAATTTTCTGGTTATGGTCTATAATACTACTCTATTATTTTAAAAAGTAGAGGCATAATTCTTTATTATTTTATACAAGTGATGGTAACAATCGATCAAATAGTCAACCTAAAAAGTTGAGTTAGACCTACTTTTTTATATAGGATAGGGCGACAAGCGAGCACACAGTTCACCTGTTGGTAAGTGGTGCCTGCGACTCATAGACATCTACATTTATCCTCAATAAGGAATCAAAATTCAGATGCGTCGTCACCCGTGAGGACTAAGATGGAATGCCTTTTTTCCAGTAAAATGATTCTCTACACTCACCATACGAAACACAGCAGTGTCAAGCTGCTATTTTACATACGCAGGTACTCTGTGAGAGCGTGGATCTTCCCCGGTCGAGCCGACCTATTCGTACTACAAATATATAGCTGCAGCATGGCTCTACCACGTAACAAAGTGTACTTATTTTTATTTATTTCATTACTCGTGTTACTTACGTTTGTGGCAGCTTAGGGAGGTTTGAAGTGGAAGGAGACGAAGACTTTTTTCTATATTGCTTTTATTTTCTAACTTACAAGTTAACTTAATTAGGTACTGTGACGATATGAGTACATAGGAATACTAGACTAAACTAACTTACAAACTACCTTAACTACTACTGGGCTGTTTTAACAATTAGACTCTGGGTTTTATACTACATTTAATATTCTTAAGTCACGCTGTAAAGTACGTGACTTCCTGATGGCACTATATTGAATAATATTAAATAACGTAAGTGAACTGAGTCACGTCGTGGATTTATTTGCTTCAACAGGCAGTGCTTTATTGTAGGTGACGTCCTGATGCCATTTAATGTTCCAGTTGGCATAATATGTAACACCTCCACCCTCATCGCGGCGACTATTGTAGCACAGAAAGTGTCACCGGTTCGTCTTCGGAGGTTCCTACTCGTATAATATTTGAATGTATCGTAGTCGAGTTTGGTACGGAGTTGATCCGTAACTGCCTTCTCGCATAGATATCAAGTGCTGATCTTCGGGCATTCTGCTTCTTTATATAAGAATGAGTTCTGTGTGGTTGCAACGAATAGGAATGGAGGTATAGGGCACTCCTATTGGGTACTATAGCTATAAGTCGAAGTTTTCTTTGATACGAGTAATTATTGAAAATTTAAATACGAATACTATTTCCCTTCTATAATAATAATAATAATAATTGGCGCTGGACGTGACAGCATGCGAGCCGCCAGCCGAGCGCGAGGTGCTGCACGACCACCTAGCAGCCCCTCGCGTCCATCATCCCCACCAGACGGCTTGGTGTCGGCGGGGTCCTCTCGGACTCGGCAAGCGGCACCAGCCGCTGGTGGAGTACGCCGCATGCGTTGGACAAAAAATATGAACATTAGCGCATTGCGGGCGTACTACAGGGCGAAAGGGGAAGCAACTGGAGGGATAGCGTATCGGGCTCGGATGCATCGCTTTTTTGCTGAGCTTGAGCCGTCAGTTCCCGTCACGGAGCAAAACCTGGCAGACCGAGTTCGGTACATCATACGCTCGAAAATATTTGATGATGCCGAACTCGAACGACTACGGCGTGAGGCTATTCCCTCATCGAATGAACCGGCTATAGCTGGGGATGCGGCTCCTCAGGCCACAGACCAGCAGCCACATATAGAGGGCGCCATGGATCTCTCCGCTCTAGTTGATTCAGGCGATGATGGAATGGTCACCCAAGAACTAGAGCAGATGAGGAGTAAATTGTAGGAGGCGATTGTGGAAACCCGCAGTACGCCTCTCGAAAATCGACCGCGACTCCCGCGCATACCCCTAAGCAAGCGAAATCGGGCTGTCGTGAGGGCTCTCAACCCAATGCTGGTGACCTATTTGGAAGCCAGCCGGGACCTTTGCGAGACGGACTCAATTCTTTTTGGCGCCGCACTGTCAGTTTGCCGTATTGTTGGCGCCAAACTTCCCACGGCTGGATACGCTACTAGACAAAGAGGCGCATCCCAGCCTGGAGAAGAAGGATTGAGGACCGTATCGTAAAGGCAAGGGCCCTCATTGGCAGGCTGATAAGCTTCAGGTCGGGCAATAATAGGCCGAGAATTGTGCGCACCGTCAGGTTGGCGTTTGCTGGGACAAATATCAGTTTGTCCCAGCCGGACATAACGCAAAAACTGACGGAGCGCATAGACGACCTGAAGCAGAGAATCGCTGCTTGGGGGAAGCGGATTCGGCGATATACCGAGAGGTCGACACGGTTCAACCAGAATCGTCTCTTCCAGGGTGATCAGAAGAGGCTATATAAATCGTTGGAGCGACCAATGGTACGTGGAACGGGCCAAGCACCGAATCAGGCCGACACTGTCGCATTCTGGCGCGGCCTGTGGTCAGAGCCCGTAAACCACAGTGAGGGCCCTTGGACGGAAGTTGTGGTGAGTCAGTGTGCGAATCTTACGCCCATGGACCCCGTCATTATAACGCCGGACGATGTAGCTGAGGCGGTCCGAAGGGCCCCGAACTGGAAAAGTCCGGGGCTCGACGGGCTGCATCACTACTGGCTGAAGGGGTTCGTGGTGTGTCACGCTGTGCTCGCCTGACAATTTCAAGAGGCTCTCGACCAAAAGTCGCTCCCGAGCCTCTTCACTACTGGGATCACTCATTTGGTTCCTGAAGACCGGGATACCATAGACCCGAGCAAATACCGCCCCATCACGTGTCTACCCACGATATATAAGACACTAACATCCATTTTGAGCGCGAGAATCACTCGTCACCTGAACTCAAATCAGGTGATGTCGCGCGCTCAAAATGGATGTCGGGGCGGTGGTCGTGGAACCAAGGAACCACTCCTCATTGACGCGGTCATTGGCAAAGTGGTTAAACGCAACCATCGGAACCTATCCGCCGCCTGGATAGACTACAAAAAGG